ACAAAGAAAAGCTGAAACCAGCAGCTTCAGAATCTAAATTCTCCACACACCATTTAAGCTGGTATGGTTGCTTCTAAGAGGTTGAAATTCCACCTACAGGGAACCAGATGTCTCTACAGAACTGTCTTTCCAATACAGTTTAGTAAGGTCTCAATTTATATTCTTGGCATGCAAAAAAATATCTTTTACCACCAGGAAATCTTAAGAATCCTGCATTTTTCACTACACAGTTTTATTCAGGTATGCTTTTATTCCTTGAATTTATAGTGAATGGCTATATTTATTATATATGGATGTTAAAAGACTTCATGGAAGCAATTATGACTGGGTAAAAAATCCTGGCATTATGGAGCTCCTACTCTTGGGCTATATTCAGGGTCGGCAAAAGAACCAGATGCAGATGAAGGGGACATCCTTCCTCAGTGGACAGCCCTTGCCCTGCAGAGGCAGAGCTGCTCTGTACAGACAGCTAGCATGACGTCAGTCCACTTATTTATTTCATAAACTTACCATTTTCTTAAAGAAGGTGCTTTCAAAATGGTTTCATATTCCTCTTTCAAAAGGATTTTTAAAATGTTTTTAAAGGAGTAAGTGGTAGTGTGGAATCATCATCACAGAATAAAAATCCTTCATTGGAAAGAACTTCCAAGGAAGTGAAATGGAATACAGTGATATTGCCTTTTACTTACTTAAATGTTAGGTTCTAAAACTAACATTCAAAGAAAAACCCAGAGTAAGAATTTCTCATGAAAAGCCCTTAGGCAGTGCATGCAGCATAATACCCTTTGCTTTATTTAACCTGTAAGTCGCTGTGCAGCCTGTTGGTAAGTTCCACAGGGACCTTTGCCTGCTTAGGGTGGTGTCCTTGGCTGAGCACCAGACAAAGCAGTTACTTGCACTCAGCGGCCACATCACACATAGATTTTTGTTATTTGCATAATACTAATAGTTAAGTTCACTTAAATTTAATACATGTATAATGTACCTTGACCACTTTTATTATGCTTTCTTAATACTATTCAGGTGACTCATGAAACAGACTACAGTTTTTTTAATCCTACAAAATCTTTTATTGAGCAGCCTTTGGTACCTATGGTAGTAAAGTTAATATTCTGTAGATGGGGAGACTATGCACATAAGAAATATCTGAAGCACAAAGCCAAGTCAAACTAATACTATTTATTAGTCGTTAACTGTAAGAGACAGTGACCATATTTGGGTCATCTAATCTGATGATTTAAAAATAATTCATAGAAAATCTTTTATCAAAAATAGACAAATACGTAGAGAAAGAGGGAAAAAAGAGGGAGTGTAGAATCTGAAATCCGAGCATATCAAAGACAAAAGCAAGACAGCTCTGGGGAAAGCTAGGAAAAGATACTCCTTTCACTTCAACAACCACAGAATCCCAGAGATTCCTCAAACAATCTGAACACTAATCTAGAGGCAAACCTCTACTCCCAGTCAGTTCATTTTATAGCTACAGAATCACAGGCCTACAGAGGGCATGCAACTTTCCTGAGGTTGTGTAGTTTAGTGGCATTGTTGTAGACATCAAATTTCCTGATTGAGGTTGGCACCACTTCCATTACAAAACTGCCTCCCCTCCACCCACCATCTATTACATAAGAGGTGATCTTTCAGAAATGTGAAGAGCTAAAGAAGATTTGAAATGATCAAAATAGGATCTACTAGACTTCTGGAAAGAGGAGCAATTGATGCTAGATCTTACAGAAAATCAAGTCAGGAACAGATTAGTGGAAAAATTCATTTTCCACTCTTCAGGTTACTTAAGAGCATGAGAAAGGAGATGTAGAGGGTAAAGGGTGACAACTAGAACTCAGTGGAAAGTCTTGAAGTGGATGAGGGGGATGAGAGAAAAGAACAAAAGGCAAAATGTTAGTGATGCTAAATAGCTGAGGGAAAGCTATTTTCCACAAGATGCATATATCCCAAATCCTTCCTGCAGTATTTACGTGGAAATGGAGTGAGGAGATGGATGAAGAAGCAGAGGACTAGAGCCCTACAGAGGGCCTGAATCTGGAAAAAGCTCACCTTCCTTGTCCTCAAATAATGAGAGCAAGCATGACTAACATATTATAAGATGTTTAGAAAAAGAAAAAAACTGTAAATATTAATCAGTATATAAAGTTATTGCACTTTAAAAATACAACATTAACCAACTGATGGAGAAGAATTCATCTATTCCCATGAAAAGGCCATGTAAAAAGGTCTGCTGCCTGTTTCAAATATAGTGTTAATAAGAAGCTTATAGGTATCACCCTGCCAAGATTTAGATATCAGGACAATGCTGAGAAGCAGAGTCCATCCTGTTTCATGGTTCTTGGTTGTATCACTGTATTTCAGATACTCTAAGAAACTCAAGCAAAGTTCTACTCACTATGTGGATCATAAGACACTGAATTATCCAGATATTTTAAAAAACACCAATAAAGTACAGAGATAAGAGGGTATGAATGAAACAGGATAGAAAGGGAATGATCACAATCAGACATGCACATTAACCTCCACCAGAAGCAATCAGGATGAGAAGCAATAAAATAGTAGATATGAAATGTAATGGAACTGATCAAATAAAAAGAAAATAAATAGACTCTAAAAACATACTGTAAAAATACAGAAGGCAAAAAGCTAAAAAAAATGTAAGGGCATTGCCTAGATTAAAAGAATCTCTTCAAAATGTATGCACAAAGCAGAGGAAAATGATTAGAAACCACAACAAACACAAAAAGGCAAAAGGAGATCAAGGAAGCAAAGTCAATGTCCTCTGCTAGCACCCTCCCTCCTACTGCTACCCCAAAACCAACAGAGAGGCTTTTCTGGGTTGTGTTGCTGCCCTACTTCCGAATATCCATGGAATAAATAACTTCAGTTCCCTAAAGTCTGGGAGGAGGGTGGGGAAGAAGGGATATATCCCGTGTCTTAGGGTACATAACAGACTTAGCTTCTTTGAAACACGTTCATAGTTTTATTTTAATCAAGGACTTTAAAGGACTCATTTTGTTAAATTTCATTTTTATTCATTCCTTATCCAAAGGTGTCATTTTCAATACTGTACTATGGTTTCTTAAATAACAGTAACATATGTGCATGAGGCAAAAATCAAACTATCCAGAAAAAAATGAAAAGTTAAGTTCCTCTATTTTTTCTCCCCAAAGGTTTCAACTATTAAATTTTGGAGTATCATCCCTAGAAATTATTTATATACTAGGAAGAGCTTGAACACGGACTTCATAAACATCCTATTATCTACTCAAATGAGATCATATTACTCAAAAAGTTTTGGATGCCACTACTGTACCAGTGCTTTTCCTATCAGGACACAAGGTCCTGCATAAAATAGAGCAGCACACACGATGCCTACGCAGGCACCAACAGATGAGCCAGTCTCATACCAGTGAGGCATTCCAAGTGATGCCTTTTTCTCTGTCTATCTGGACTCCTTCACCAACACTGCCATGAACATCCTACATTCCCACTCTGAACCGTCAGGGTCTGTCTATGTTCCACAGTTAATTCTCAATGAACCAAACCAAAGGGCTTGGGAAGCACTATTCCAAAACAATGCCAAACCAATCAGTAGTTAAAAACTTAACTGATATAAAATCAAATAAAAACTTACTTGGATAACTTTGTATCTAATACATAGAAATATAATTACCTTTTTAATAACATTATAGAAAAAATTAACAGAAAAAATGGAGATTAATCACGCCTTCATTAAAAAACAAGACAGGTCCAAAGGGGTATCAACCTTGTGAGGCCATCCTTGTCCTCTCCAAGGCCTCCCTCACTCAAAGGAGCTCTTGATGCTTCCAACCTGAGAAAGAACCCAATGAACAGCAGCTGTTTTTGAGCACGCTGCTGATGTGAATTGCTGACAACTTCTATTTTTTGTGTCCTACTCTTTCTGCCAAGAATGTCACGTGTATTATCTCATGTTCAGTGAGGTAGGTACAGTTCCTGTTCCTGTTCGGCATTTGAGGAAACTGAAAGCTTAGAATGGCTGTGTCCTGAACCCAGGCATCATGCTAGCATGGAAATGAAATGAAATCCCTCCTCAGCAGCAGCCCCCCATTATAGAGACTCTCAAACCACCCCAGATTAGCTTATGCTCAAATGAAACCACTTACATCAGCATCAGCCTCAGTCCTTAAAATGAGCAGGCTTAGTAAAGGGTGCTATAGTTCTGAAACAGATTTTTGCTTAGATATCAGATTAAACCTACGGGAGCTTCCTACAATACAGCTGTAGCTTCCTACAATACAATGCACCCTGAGGTCTCCCCACCCCTGACGGACACGCCGGGTGTGGTGGTGGTCCATGCCTGTGATCCGAGCACTGGGAAGGCTGAGGCAGGAGGATCGCTATGAGTTGGAGGCCAGCCTGGGCTACATAGTGAGTTCAAGGCCAGGCTGAACTACATAGCAAGACCCTGACTCCAAAAAGGGGGGAGGGGGGACAGGAACCTCCTCTTCCTCCTCCTTCTGATTATTATCAATTTCCAGAAAATTATAATGCTCTAAAACAGAGATACTTTCCTTTCTCTGCAATTTCATTTTTATTTATTTTTAACAGTCTATTCTGCCCTACTCAACTATACAACTCTACATTACTATACTCAGAACAATCTTTTGCAAATGATGGTACTAAGGAGAAACCATTATAACTTAGGGTTTTTGTTTTTGTTTTTTCATTACTAGGAATTGAACTCAAGGCCTTTGCACTGAGGTACATCCCCAGCCCCTCTCCCTTTTGGAGACAAATTCTCACTAAGTCACTAAATTGCTCGGGCTAGGCTCGAATTTGGGATTCTCCTGCCTCAGCCTCCCAAAGTGCTGGGATTACAGGTGTGCCCAACCATGTCCTGCAACTTAGGCTATTTTTCTTCCTCTGGGGAACCATTTCTCCTGTGTCAGTCCAGCTGGCTCCTCCCTTCTTCTGCCCTTGTGACCCAGATCTGGCCAGTCAGTGTGTGTTTTGTCCTCTTCCTTCCCGGCATGTGATTAGCTCTAGGTTGGGCAATGACCCAACTTCAAGACTGACTGGAACAGCAGGGAAAGTAAATCTTCTTAACTGGGACTGTGGGCTGTAAGGCTGACATCAGCGTGGAGCTGCCAGAGGTAGACGGCTGGTGGATCACATACACAAAGACCCAAGGATGAAGTCAACTGTGAGTAAAGCAGAGAATCTATTGCTGAGATTTGTAGACATATGAGCTAAAAAATTTTCTTTTTCTTTTGAGCCAGTTTCTGGCATTTGGAAGCAAATCAAGCTCACTAATAAAACTGCTTCATTTATTTCTTCATATGCCCATGAGCTTCTATTAGATCTGTCTATAACGGGCAGAAACTAAGTTTTACTGTCTTTGTATGCCCACAATCTAATAGAAGCCCTGTTTCAAGAGTGTTTGAATATGCGTGCAGCACTGGGCTCAATGGGAATTTTCCCACAACTAATTCTCCTCTTCAACAAATGGTTATGTGCATCCTCTTCAGCAGCTTAAATGCTATTAACAGTAACTACAAAAAGTACCTGATTGTGGGCTGTTTAGACACACTCATGGAAAATAAAGTGCTGCATTCTTCCTTTCTGCCTACCAAAAAGCATGCACTCATTAATTCTTATACACACCCCCAACTTCACACATTTCAAGAACAACAAAGAGCCACCAAAGTTTCCAAAGCACTGTCAACAAAATAGCATCACATAGAAAGAGCAGAGTGCTCACGACAAGAAGGTGAGGCAAGCAGAGGCAATGGCTCCAATAGATGCAGAGGTTCTCAGCCAGTGCTCTCCAACTTCTTTGAATGCACAAGTGCATTTGCTAAGTAGGAGACCCAAGGCTCAGTCATATTCTCAAAGGGATCTGAGAGCCCAGAAATGTTAAAAAGCAATACTCTATGGGGTACAATAAGCATTTCATTTCTCTTCCCCTGCTAATTCAGTTAAATGAACATTATTCAAGGAAAAGACAAGAAATAATCCACCTGGAGCTGTTTTCCTTATAAAAGACCAACATAAAATCAAGCTTTATCTGATGGCTTGCTTGCTTGTTTGTTTAAACCTTATGGTGGAGGGAATAAGTTCTCAGAGCTATTGTTTCTACTATGAATGAACAGTGGCAGTCAGCAAACCCTAGCTAGAGGAAGGAAAAGGGCTTCATCTTCAACCTGGCAAGAGCCTGCCATCCTCCAAAGGTTTCACCACAAAAGGGCCAACCTACTCGAAATGAGGGAATGGTGCTTTTTTATAACAGTGGAAAACACACAACAAACTAAATGTTCATTAAAAAGAAGACTACTTAAATATTATAGCATAAGATGATGGAATCAACATGATATATTCAAACCTGAACATCTATTATGTGCCAGCAATATGACAGGAAATGGAAACACAATTGCAGATCAAAGAGATCTAGTGATATACACCTATGTTACTAACATGGTAAAAGCTCTGTGATGGTACAAAGAGTAAAAGCAAAAACAAAAACAAAAAAAACCAAAAGAGCATGTGAAGCACAATTTCATTAACATACATACACACACGTATGTACAGTGTCTATGCAGGTATATATTGTAAAAGCAATGGAGAAGATATATGTACAAATCAATGAAGGAGGTGCAATCCTATTAACACTAATACATATGCACTCAGAGAGCACTGAGAGCATATTCACTAAAATGTTACCTGTGGTCATCTCTAAAAAAGTAAGAATTTGGGTAATTCCTCTTTTTCATGCTACTTCTATATCATTTGGGTTTTGAGAGTGAGCATATGTAATATTTGTATGTTAAACACGTTTTGAAATATACCACACAAAACACAACCTGGAGACCCTAAGGTGGTCTTCTGAAACAAGAGGTTGAGAAGAAGTTGTACATCTTTATTTTTAATAATGGAATTTCAATTGCTTATCCAGAGGCTATTGTGCAATGTAATAATGGATAAGAACAATGACTCTCACTCCAGATGGCCTGGGTTCAAATTTTACCTCGATTTATTAGCTGTGTGACTTTAAGTAAATCACTTAAGTCTCTCTGTGCTTCAGTTCCCAAAACAATTCTGGAGAAAATGAAAGGCCTGCTGCACAGATTTGTTATGAAGAAAAAATAAAGCTAATAAAGGGGATAATGATAAAGAATGAGGAGGAAGAAAAGCTGCTTCAGATACACTATACACAAAGAGCCTCATCTAAAAACACTCTTGAGCACAGACCCGATCCAAATATTTCTGACCCTTTTTGGAATCCTTTCCTCCCATAACAGCAAGGTCCACTTCTCCAGGGGCATCAGAAGCCTTTAGCAAACTCGTGCTCATCCCTGCCCCCCACAGTTTATCCACTTCCTGGCCACTATAATCTATACCCATGAGGCCCTCTATGCTCCAACAAACGGGTTCTTTTCTCCCCTTTATGTTGTTCTTATACTGATTCTATTCTATCTGCTCTGCTCTGTTCTTTTCTATTCATCTCAGTGCCTGACTTGGTGTTGGAGGCTTATTCTTCCTTCCTACAACTTCTACCTTAAACTCTGACTTGGATTTGTGCTCTTAGAAGCCATCCGCCCATTATCCACCCACCCAAACATCACCAGTCAATTCATCATCTGCTCTTCAGCAAATGACAATAACAAGCCAAACATTCTGCCAGGAAACAGACCAGGAGAGGTGTCTGAGACTGACAGGGACAAGTACAACATCAAAAATTAAAATGATCTACACACACTCCTTCTACAGCCATCTGGTTTAATGGGATTATTAAGATTCATATGTATTTGACCTCTCTGTACACAGTTCAATTTGTCTTACTGGCACCTGTTTTTATACAGTGTGGCTAGTTTTTATCTTTCCTTTTTCCTTCTACTGACATTCTTGATAAAATATTTTCTAAATACTTATTTAGTAACTAAAAGAACATTAAGAATCTTTTTCAATTTATTAACCCTAGTAACTTTTATTTTCCTATGTTTTCTCTAGTTTGTCCATGTGCATGTATGATGTACAACATATGCAATATACAATACACTATGCACACACATCCAAGATTGTAACCATAACATGCATACACTGTTATTTTTTATTTGAGTAAGCATTTCTCTAAATTCAGTGTTTATGTTGTAATAGCAGTATAAACATTCAGAGGGTTGTCATACCCTTGTTTACTTACTTACTGCCCTATTGGTGAAAACACAAATTTCCATTTTGAAATATAACTCATTAATAAATTATCTTTCTATGTAGGTATTTCTACTTTTCTTTTTTCAGTTTTGTGAGATGAAGTCTAGCTCTATTATCTAGGCTGGTCACAAACTCAAAGTGATCCTCCTGCCTCAACCTCCCCAGTGCTGGTGTGTGCCATCATGCTAAGGCTCTTCTTTTCAATTAGAGACCTGGAATAAAGTTTTTTAGCAATGAGATTATCAGACCAAACGCTATGAAAAAACTTAAGGTTTTTAATGACCAAAAGGCTATTCTAAAGGGTTTGAATAACCAAATGCAACTAAAATCAACAGTTTATTATCACACTAATAGAGAAAAGCGGTATTGAGAATAACCCAAGTTATTTCTGTTTGCAATTGGGAGGCCAAATATTTACACATATTGCTATAGAATATTTTTCTTAATTATGCTTCACATGTCAACAGAAAGTAAGTAGATAAAACGAAATCAAGCAGGAGTACAGCATTCTGAAAAAGTAAAAGATCAAAAAAAGTCTGAACCCTATTGGGAAACAAAGGGAAGCTAGTCATGGAATTCTAAATAAGTCAGAAGCCATCTACACTCAGACAACTGAGAGCTCTCTCTGGAAGTTGGTACAGCTCTCCTATTTTATGAATGCAACTAGAACAGTTTTCCAATTTGTGATTCCATTTGGAGCCGAATCCTTGCAAAGAGGAAGGGGTGTGTGTGTCAATATTTGGCTTTCTCCTATCCTCTTTCCTCTACCACCCCAATCTTACAGAATAATTGCTATTCTGGAAATTACTAACAGTAGAACAAAGCTGTCCAAAATGCAAGGGAGAAAAGAACAGAAGAGAGAAAACAAAAAGGCTTATAGTGTTTTAGAATTGTCTGCTAAAGATTAAACAACAAATTTGTACAAGCCCTCTAACCCATTATGTTCTACCTATTTACCTTGGACACCTTTCAAGACCTTGCCTCTGCTTCTAGCATCCCGAAGACCAACACCCTCGGGAGCATCCTCCCAAGCCTGCATTCTTCAAGTATAAGACCTATGGAACTGTGCTAGAGATGACTCCATGTGACTCAAGAATGCACCCCAGATTGTAGAGACAGTCCCTTTCTATCATCTTTTATGCTTCGTGATATCACTTAAAAGAAGTCTCCATTTGCTATCAGCAGGCCTCTAACATTTAATAGCTACTAATGTTGGGGAAGCTCAGAAAAGGATACCCCCAGTATCTGCCACTTTATACTTCGCACTGAGAGCAACCGGGGAGCAGCAACTACAAGGATGGCAATTCTCTGAAGTTCTCTTTTCTCCACAGAAACCAAGTCTGCAATTCGAGGAACACAGCTACCTTCAACTCCTTTATTGAAGTTTCATTACCCATGGAAGATTAAACTCATATCACAGACTGAAAATCAGACATCACACGTGGAGCCCACAGGAACTTCATCTCAGCCCACTCTCTGTTCTGTGAGCTCGCTCTCTTCCCTAAAAATAATTTCCAACCCCTCTAAAAGTGTCTACAGCCCCTATTTGCCTCCCTCCTATGAAGACAGTAGGTAAGCCTCAATCATCTGCCCTTTGAGTTTCCTATCTTGCGTGGGCCCACACATGCACAGTAATAAATTTATATGCCTTTTTCCCTATTAATCTGCCTATTTTGCAGCTGTTTCAGAAAATTCAATTACCAAACCTTCAGAGGGAAAGTTTAAACTCTGCACTAATATCCTTTTATTTTTTTAATAAAGAGAAAAGTAGGACATAAGCTCAGAGGCTTTACCAAGCAAAAATATAGGTAGATGTTAAAAACAATATAGTTTTGTTTCTACTTTATTTATTTTTATGGTTTCCTTATATAGGAAGTGCTACTGATTCATGTAAGATGTGCACTTTTTTTTTAAGTTTGTAAGTAAAGTAAGTAAATTAAATAGAAGAAAAGTTTTAAGCAAAAGTGTTAATGGGGATATGATTAAAATCAAGAAGGTGATGGGGAAAAACTGAAGTTTGCAAAACTGCATTAAGCCTATTTATATTTCACACTTATCATTTGCATGTCCTGATTTTCTTGATTTAACTCTTCTATTCTTAAAGGAAAAGGACTGTATTCTATCACTATGTTTTATTTCAGATGTCAGGTATCCCATATAAAAGCAAAGTCTAACTTTTATATTTTTATCCATTTAACAAAACATTCAGATACATTAAATCCATCAAGACATTATAATTTTGAGTTTACTTTATCTTGATTTCTCATTGATCCTGAAGTCCATTTTAAAAAATCATTACAATGTAACCTTGCTTTATCTTGACCTCTGAGTGCTTATTATTCATGAATGACTTGGGATACTTCAGCTTTCAGTTTTACTCTCTGTTAAGTTTTTGATGATCTATAAAGAATATGACAGATATTTTAATAAAACAGGCACAACGATCCCCTTACTATACGGAAATACATGCAATCCTATTGACCTATAGATTATTTCACCCTTAACTGTCTGTCTGTGAGAGATTCAGGTATTCAGAGTTAAGCATTCTCTGTAATTGCACGGAGGGTTGTGCCAACCCCCTGTTCTCCTGCCTTGCCTGTTCTGGGGCTCCTGTTCCTTCTCTGGCCACTGAAGTAGAAGCAATGCTTTAGCTTTATCAACCACAGATTTGAAAACCAAACAATACAAAAACAAACAGTCACCATTCTTTTCCTATTCATTTTTTGGGGGTATTTTTTCCTGTATTCTTTTATATTAGTTAAAATCCAAAAGCAACCCCACTGCCACAATACTTCACAAATTCTTGTTCACTCAAGACAACTTCAGACTGAGAGCTGAAGGGAGGCTAAAGCATGTTTTAAATTAAAAAAGCAAAATAAACAAAAACCCAGAAGTGCAGTTTCAAGCTGGTGATGGTAAAATCCACATGGAGCTGCCCAAATGAAACAAGCCTCATCTACATTTCAGTGGAGGATAAAATATCTGATATAATCTGTAGAAGATAAGCACAAAGAAAGTTTTATTTTGGAAATTATTTCTGAATACTTTTCTGCCTCTCACAGTTCTGCTTTGCTTTGAAGTTTCTCATGAATAAGGTCTCAGTATCAACTACCCTAGGATCTCAAAGGGTCAGTGATATTTTTAACAAGGCCAGGAATGCTAATGATTGGGACACTGGCCAGAGTTCAAAAGATGTGTAGTTTCTACCAGATAATCTGTCATCATTTTTAAAAGATATTGAAAACAAAAACAATTTTGGAGGAGAATTTACATGCATAAAACCATAGAAAGAGCAAAAAGAGTGAACTGAAAATTCTTCAAATGGAACATCTGAAGACTACTGTTATTTAATTTTATTTTCAAAGGCAAGAACATTTAAAGTTGAACATTTTCAACAGGAACCAATTCCTTAAGGAAGAATGGTTGCAAATATCAAGGCCTCAGGAAGCTAAACTGTATGACCTTGGGCTAGTCAGTAAGCCACCTTTTTTTTTTGGTACCCGGGATCAAACTCGGGACCTTGCACTTGTGCGGCAGGCGCCACAACCATTAAGCTAAATCCCAGCCCCAGTAAAGCCACTTTTAACTCAAACTGTCAAACTGGTAATCAGGAATACCACTAATTCAACTGACAGGGTGAAATTTTCTTAAACTGAGAACGCTACTTCCTGTAATAGCATGACTTTCCTTTACCTACAATGTTACAAAGGAACATTTTAACCTCTCTGGATCTCTGTTTTAAACATCCAACAAAGAGTGACTGGGTGTCCACGGTATACTAGGCCCTGATCTAGATGCTAGGAAGACAAAGGTGAGTTAGAAAAGGTTTCTTTCAAGCAATGTCATTCTAAAAGAGGGAGGAAATTGTGAACAAGGAAACAGGGTAAGTTGTCCAGAAGGCCAGTAGGTGATCTGATAGAAAGTAATAGAGGTTAGGAAGAGGCAAGATAGTAATGCTAGAAATAGGAAAGTTAAGAAAGGCCTTTGAGAATGTGATAAGTAGGCTGAGATCTGATGAAAGAGTGAACTGTGTTTAAAAAAAAAAACTTTATGTAATCCTATATACACTAGACTATTACTGGCGATATAGAATGACAAATTTTAGACATCTGTGGGAAAATAGATGCAACTGGAAAATACAATGTTAAGTGAAATAAATCAGACACACGAGCTTAAATACTGTACGGTGTCTCTGATTTGAGTGAGGCAAAGTACAAACAAAGAAAATGAGAAAAGATGGATAGAAAGAGACAAGGGGCCAGATCTCTTGCAATGGGGAAGTGGTCCAAGGGAACAAGGGTGAGAGGTGAGCAGGAAAGTGAAGGGGAAATAAGAAGAGTAAAGATAAGCCAGGTACAGGAGCCCAATTAATGTAAACATTATATGCCCTAACATGAGCTAAGACAAACAGCATCAACAAGAATGAAAAATGAGATGGGGGAACTGGAGGAAAGGGGGGTGGAGAAGGGAAAGGAGATTTAAAAGAACAAAGAAAAATGCTGTAATATGTACATGTAACCACTCCCCAAGATGACTGTGAACTATATGAACTGCAAACATGTACAAGTAAAATATTTTTTTTTTTACTATAGCCTGGCAGAATGACATATGCAAAGATCCTAAGGTGAGAAATACTTTGACACACTGGGAATAAGAAGATGGCCAATAAGGCTGCCCTTTGAAACCACACCAGGGTATTGGCCTTTGTTCTACATGACAGGAATATAGTGGGGTTGTTCCACTTAAGTGGACTACTTTTCTTATTAAGTCAGACTTACCTTTTGAGGTATCAAAACTATAAAGCATTTAATAGGAATTTCTTTCCCATTATGTCACAGATTCGCTCTTTTTAAAGCAAGTATATAGAACTTTTTATTGACTTGAGCTCATTAGTATTGTGTGGTGCTCTGTCATCAGGAGGACAGAGACATGCTTTTATAACACAATTTTTTTCTTCTGCTTCTACCAGCAATCACTTCCTACATCAGGTTCCCTGAACTGCCTTATCTGGAAATACCTTCAGCTATGGTTAATAGGCTATTACTCTTTTCCACATAATCAAGTGCAGGAGTTTTGTAATAAATATTGCTATCTAGAGCCCATTCCTATTGCTGCACCTTGCAATACAGAAAAAGAAAAACAGAACAAATATAGATAGTTTTCTTTCCCTCTCTTTATTTCCAGGTTCACAACAGTACCACAAATGAAAAGGTCTATCCAGTCTGGCGACCAGATAAACTGGGTGTGGTAGCAAAATTCTAAAGGTGGTTTGCCAATGATTTCCATCTTGTGGTTCTTCAATCAAACATTAATCTAGGTACTACTGTATTATTAAATTCCCAAATCAGCTGACCTTAAAATATAGATTATCGAGATGACCTAATCACATGACTTCTTAAAAGCAGAAAAGTTATCTCTGTCTTATAGCAAAAGAAGTCAGAGAGACAGGAGCATTGGGAAGATTCAACATGCTGTTGTTGGCTTGACCATGGAGGACATCATATGATCAAGAATTTGAGGGGCTAGGGATGTAGCTCAGTGGCACCCCACTTGCCTGGCAAGTGCAAGGTCCTGAGTTCGATCTCAGGTACAGAAAAAAAAAAAAGGAAAGAAATTGAACCAAGCACTTGCTACCTCATGTTAAAATGTGCTCATGCCCTTCTGCAGAAGTAAAACAACTTCGCCTTGTCAAGATTTCTTGATGTCTGAGTGCTTTAGTATCTGCACCAACAAACTGAGTCAGGGAGCATATTCTCAACAATTTTGGCACCCAACTGTGGAGCTATAGCCCATTAGGGCACAAGGACTCCCACCAGGAGGAAACGCATCCCACAGCCTTGTTGCAGTGGCCTCTGGGACAAGAAACCCTGCCTATAGGCAGAGGATCCAATAAAGACTTCCTGACAACACGGAAAGGGTCTGGAGGCAAAGACTGCAGTGACCAGGCAACTTCATGCACAGACCAAGGTAAGAAAAGTCACAAGTATGACTGAGTACTTCTTTGGTGGTTGGGTTATTCTGTCCCTGTCTCAGGACAACCTCAGGTAAGACTGGCAATTTAGGATGAAATCAAAAGTAACTAATGGCAAGATATCTCAGTGCATGCCAAAGATTGAGCCTCAGGCTCCGGAACAAACGGAATGGGAAATAAATGTGCCTCCTAGTCAGGACAAATGAGGGAATCAAGGAGCTCAAGGAACAAAATACCAACTGACAGTCCTGGACTGATGTTAAGGACTTGGGGTGATAATCCATGGATGAAAAACAAACAAACAAACAAACAATCCATCATATTTCCCCAGTCACCTTTGAAATACCTACTTAAACACTGGCCAATTTAAATGGGTATTTCTGTTTACTTGATATGCTTAATACATTTCTTGTGTTTTGTAAATTTGTAGACTACATTTATAGGGTTAACTTGCTCTTCTGCTTTTTGCTCATGTTAGGATAGGAGTACCGATTCAAGGTTACTTGAAAGTCTGTTGGCAGCCAGTCAAATTTAAAAATGTAACAATCTAAGACAAGAAAAAGAAAGGAGAAGGACTGGAGACCCACACTGGGAAGACCCTTGGTCTTGATTGTCTTTCTGCCCTTGAGATAATTAGGATTTAATTCTGCCATGCATGGAGTCACTCTTCTGTTCCTTCTCCACTGCCCTTCCCCTGAAAAATAATGTAATCTACAACAGTGTTTTGTCCGAGGAAATTTTCTTCTCTGTGACAGCTTAATTCCAGGGCCAGGTTTCCTTCCATGGGACCCTTGCAGAATAAAGATGACCTTTACTTATCTCTGCACCATATTCTAAAAAAAAAAATATGGTCTAGATTTAATCCTCAAACCCTCAAAGAATAAATGTAAAAGTTTTAGTCCAAATTTATCAGCCTTTTTACCCTTAGGCAGAACTACAAGTTAACTCTTTTCACTATCCCCTCCCTTCAAGAATGCTGCACTACACAGGAGACTGACTGGTTTTTAGACCACAGATAAGTTCACTGATAGAAGAAAAGGCATTCTTAGGGACCCTTATAAGTTTGATAACAGTTTTAAATAGAAACAGGTATTAAAGAATACCCATAGCCCTAGTCTCCAGAGGACTGCCTCTCTCTTGCCATGGTTTCTCTCCAGAGCATCTTGCTAGGTCAGCCCTCATTCTCAGAGATACACTAACTGAGGTTCTGAAAGAGGAAAGCCTGTAGCTAAGTATGGTCCAAGGGTCACAGGACCATGAAGAAGGGGCCCAGGTGTACCATAAGAGTGGATAACCCAGCTCTGGCCACTTCCTCGAATATCCAGTTCACCACTGCTGTTGCTGGATGGGGTTAAGCCTAGGGGATGCCTTAGATTGGGTACAGAGCAAGAGGGATAGACAGGGATACCTTCTTTCCCTTTCTTCTCCTTTTAAAATATATACTTAGCTCCAAAAGAGTACCACTTAGACTCTACACCCAAACTTGGCCTAAGCACCCCCTGAAAATAGGTAAAAATGCCTTTAACAGTCTGTCCCTTTAGAGGGAACAGTTACATGAGGGTATCAAATCTGCAGTTTTGGCTATCAGCTGTGGCTGTCAAAGCAACCATGAAAAGCCTCTGTGACTGGCTATTTCAATAAGATAAACCATCAGCCTAGGGCCTGTCTTTGCTTTCACAGGTATAAAACTTTTTTTTTCCTCCTCTGATTCTTATTACAAGGAATCTCTGTTAACTGACCTATAAGAAGTTCTGACTAGTCTATTTATAGTTATAAACCTAATATTGTAAAGGGGTTATTGTAATTCAACTTGGCCAAATACATCTGAGAGTACACTCTAATTTAAATGTGATCTTCTTGAGTATGTTTGTCTGTTGAATGTATGTTAATGATAACCAGTTAAAGCACCTACAATGGCTTCATTTAAGAAAAGTATTTTAAAAAAAAAAGAAAAGTATTTTTTTAGCACAACAATTTTTTTTGATCCTTTTTGAGATTTCCATGAAAAAATCATTTATATAGATTTTCAGGGTAGCCAAACTTATTTAAAACATTAACAGATGAGGACTGATAGTCTCAAGGTTTACATAGAACTTAAAAATAAAACCCTAAAAGTTTGATATCATAAGGGTTATATATGGTTGGGTTGTTGTATATGTCTTTGTGTGTCAATTTTCAGGTATATATTCTATTTTAGTTCATATATCGATAAATGAATACCATAATATAATCCAAATATCTTTTTTCACAGGGTTAACAGTGAGTTAACAAGATAATAAGATAATAAGATGTCCTTAAAGCTGGTACCATATTTCCAACCAGCTTGTTAGCTTATTGAGATAATATCAAAGGGTTGGTTTTATAAATGCAGTGTCTATTGTTGTTTTTCTACAATAATTTAAGAGGTTTTCCTTAGATAACGATAATATATATGGCTTAAAGTGTTTAAATGTTATGATTTGGTTCTCATGAATTATCTAAAACAATCGTTAGCATATATTTAAATATGATTAAAAGGTTAAGCTCTCTATGTCTAAAGCAATAAGCTTTCTTAATATATTGAAATCCTCTTGGTTAAACTTACACAATTAGATTGAAAAGCAAAAGTTACTATATTTTACTAAAATAGCTTTTTTGTGTTCTCATCATTACGCTTTTGATTACTAAAAAGGGGGATTTAAAAGTTAAACGGGGCCGGGGATCTAGCTCAATGGTTTTGCTGCCTGCTGCGCAAGTGCAAGGACCCAAATTCGATCCCCAGTACCGAAAAAAAAAAAGTTAAACAGTACTTGAATGTTAACCTATAAAATGTTTTCAATAATCAGTTCGTGATTGGTTAAATAAACTTATATTAGTTCATGAAATAACATATATTTGGACATATATGTATGTATACATCTAAATACAAGCTATGCTGTGAGTCTAAACTTTAAAGTTATGTTTAATACATACAAAGTAATAGGTGCTTTCTTTTATACAATATATATTTAGAATTTAAGCATAAAATGATCAAAATTGGACATCTCTTTAAATTTGGTCCTGCCATTTAAAGCTTGATCTACATCTACTGGCTTTGAATTAATAAGCATTTTGTTATTATATAAATGTGATAACACTTTTATATTGGGTAATAAGTCTCCATGTAGTCATTAACACTGTTACCTAAATTTGTAAGAGTTCTAAAGATGTCCTTTAATTCTTATCAATACAGAATTGATAAAAATTCTGAATAAAGCTGTTTTTAAAAATCTAAATTTTGCCTTAAGAGTAAAAACTAAGCAGATATGTTTAAGATTTCTATATAGCTGTCATGCTAATTATTGCTCAGTCTCATAGTAAATGAAATACATTTGTGCTTTCCCAAGTGTACAGGTCCTTTTAAGGTATAGGACTGGAAAAAGACATACTGATGACCTCTAAACTACAGTTGTTCATGATGATGGACTTTTCCAGGTTTATGTGATTGTTATATAATTGTGTTATGATAGTTTGATGTGCCTTCACCTTATACAGTTAAGAGTGTCATAATGATTAGAGATTAGGCATTGATAACCTGTAAAGTAGACACTCTATTAAAAGGTAACAAATTTAGATAAAATTTTCTGTATATCATTTAATATCTTGTAGTTAGATAAAAGATAACTGACTAAAAAGTTATTTTATACTAAGATAAATATTTAAATGTTTCAGAGATAATAATAAAACCTAATGGTTCCAATGTAAGGATGTCATATTGTTATGCTAAAACGTTATCTCAGGCTTTCTCAATGAAGCTTTATAATTGTTATCTGTTAACATTCTACAGTGTTTCAACCATGACTGGTAAGAAAATAACAGTTCCCTGGTCATACTACATATTTCAAGACACTTGATATCTAGATAAGATCATAAGATTAAACCAACTGCTCCCTACTACAATAATTGTTTAACTGATCTAGGTGTTCAACAACTAAAGTTTGGAGACCAAAGCTAATGTAGTAACTGAGCCAAAAGGACAGCTAATATTTTGGCCCTGACCCTCCATGGTCAACAAGGACCAGGACATGAGGGGACCTTTTCTACAGGATTCTACAACTTTGGTGAGTCACCCAACTTCCTGAGTAGGGAGATTACTGGACTCCAGAGAACAGGAGTCAACCAAGACACAGTGTGCCAAAAAGGAAGAAAAGAGAAATGTCTTCTATGCTTCCACAGGAAACTACATGGTCAAGCAAGACCATGACCCATCCTGGCAGCTGACATTGACAGAGGAGCTAAGAGGCTCTGCACATACTTCCAAAAGCAATCCCTGGAGAGCCTTAACTGACCATGATATTTGACAAAAAGTTAATTTTGATTAATACTGGTCTCACTTTAACTTGGTCACTTAAACACCCAATAAGAAAGTATAACCAAAAATAATAATAATAATAATAATAATAATAATAATAATATAGACTAGACATAAACAGGGGACTCCAATCATTGAGCCCTGCTGACAGTTTCCAGCTACAAAGCCAGCTGGTTATAACTGCTATTCCAATCTCTTAAGAATTATGTCTAGGTGTGGCTCCTTCCCCAATCTGCCTTTCACTCTAGTACTCATGCTTTGGTCATATGTGCTTTAAAGCTTATTTATTTTTGCCTAGTGGAACAAGTAATGTAGTAAAAACTCTGCTACAACAGGTAGTCCCAAGATTTGGAATAATTAAAAATACAGACTCAGATAATGGGAGCTACTTCACAGCACAAATAGGAGACTCTAGGGAGCTGGATATAAACTGGGAATACCACTCTTCCTGGCACTCACCTTCCTCGGGTCAAACTACTCTTAAAACCACTCTTAAATCCCACTTAACCAAAGAGATACTGGAAACTCAGTTACCATGGGTCAACTATGGGAACAGCTCTCAGAAAAGACACTGGGTTATCTCCATATAAAATGCTGTGTGGACTTCCCTACTTCACCAGGCCTTCAGACCCACCTATCTTTAAAACCAAAGATCGATTCTTAAGAAATGATGTGCTTGGCTTGGCTTTCACCCTTTACTCCCTCAGACAGAAGGACTTCTAACTCAAACCCCACTGCTCAACTTTCTGGTCCATCCACAACAGCCTGGTGACTATGTGTTGATAGTCATAAAAAGAGGACAAAGTCAGATCAGCCTGGGAGGGACCCTTCCTCATGCTCCTGACTACTGAAATTACAGTCCAAATGGCTAAGTGGGGATGGATTGACCACACTCAGCTAACATGCTCCTGAAGGAGAAACACAACAGAGAGAGTGAACTTCTGCTCACAGAGTTTGAAGAAAAAAATGAGGATTTTTAAAAGGGAGGGAACTGTGAAAAACCACAGCCCTGTCTTTCCTATCAAAGGATATAAACAGGAGTGCCTCCATTTTAAACTCTAGTCCACCCTAGGCTGCCCCACCCCTACCCTTACACCAGAGTTACAGAAAATGTCTGCTCAGTTTAGATTCCTGGAACACGGCTAACCACCACAGACAACTTATCAACAGCCAAGGACTTTCGGTCCCCATATAGCCAGCAACCCTACCCAACAATTCTTCAGGTCCTCCCCTCACGCCACTTAAACTAGCCAATGGGGACAGACTGTAAACCTTCAGCCACTGGGGAGGTCAGCTGCTTCTCACACATGAGGAAATAAAAGGAGCCCACTGCCATGTCTATGTGTGCTTGCTACTTCATGCTAATATGTGCTCACACCCTTATGCAGAAGTAAAATAACCTTGCCTTGTTGAGAAAAACAAAGAATTTGAACCCGTCTCTAGAAACTGAGAACAGGTCCTTGCTCATGGCCAGCCAGCACTCGTGAATACAAATCCTACAACTGTAAGAAACTATAAGAAACGATTTCTCAAATTTCATAGGAACCAGGATGTAAAAGAACCTGGTGTCCAGATGAGAGCACAGGCAGCCAACACCTTGATTTCCAGGCTGGCTTTTGATCTTCAGAAGTAGGAGTCAATAAATGGAAGCTGTTTTAAATTACTCAGTTTGTGATCATTTATTATACAGCTAAATAATACAGTAAGTGAAGTGAACATCTAGTAAGTTTGCTGAAGAGCAATGAATCCATAAATGAGGTTTTTGGTCTGGTCTAGTCTGGTCTGGTCTGGTCTGGTCTGGTCTGGTCTGGTCTGGTCTGGTCTGGTCTGAGGGGTTTTTGGTGGTAATGGAGATTGAACCCAGGGCCTTCACACTGAGCTATATCTCTAGCTCTTTTTACTTTAAGACAGGGTCTAAGTTACCCAGGCAGGACTCAGACTTGCAATCCTGCTGCCTCAGCCTCCCAAACTGCTAGGATTATAGATTGTACCACCATGCCCAACTCATAAATGGGCTTTCACTATGTCATTCTCCCCATTGTGCACACAATACCTACCTTAATAAAAACAGCATAAAATTGGGAGACAGTAACCCTGGATTCTGATCCCAACCCTGTCACTAGCTACCTCTGTGATTCAGGAAATTCATTT